TTTTCCATCAAGCGGGATTGGCCTAGGGGGGGATTTTATAGGGATTTTAAAGGGATTTTATAATTTTTCTAATACAGGTTAATTAATATATATTTTAATTTGGCTTTTAAATATTTATTGTATAGCTCTGTTTTTATTTACCTGTAAGCCGCCCTGAGTCCCTCGGGAGAAGGGCGGGGTATAAATTAAATTAAAGTAATAAATAAATACAATGACATGCAAACAGGTAACTTTTGTTTTCATTTTATTTAAACTGTGTTAGATACTTCCAAGGCTCTCTTTCACAGAAAAGACAATGCCTTCTTCTTTTAGAATGTTAAGTCAAATAACATCTTCCTATGCTTTCTTCCTATTCTGGAATTTTTTATCTCATGGCTTTCCAAAACTGACATTTTGGTTTGGATCTTCCTCAAGCTTTTTATTCCCACGGAATCCATACCCAGAAAGAATTAGGAGCTCTGACTGCTATAATATATCATGCCAGATCTTCCAAATTTGTTTGTGCCCATCTTTCCTCCTCCTCTTTTTCCTCCTCCCTATTATTAGCACCCTTTCAGTACCCCTTACTTCTTTCATCTCCACGGTTCTTCTCATTAGAAAAAAGGAAGGGCGAATTGTGATATAACTCGGTGTAACCAGACACTTGTCTAACAATACATTCAGTATTAGGGAAAGATGGATATGCCTGTATTAGTCTTTGTCTAGATTAGTGTATTGTAGGAATGCACAGCCACAAAATCCCAGCTGCACGATTTATTGTAAATATAATGATATTTTTAGTTTTTAAGGTACCACAAACCTTAAAACTTTAAATCTTTTTCAATTGCTGCTGCAAAAATGAACATGATTCATCTATGGGACATAAGAACAAGGCAACTATTCCAGGCTTTGATAACAATGTCCTATGGATAAAGCAGCAAAGTCTTAATGCTAGATTTCATGGTCAACAAAAGCTGAACACTAAGGCTTAATCAGTGCAATTCTGTAACCCAAATGAGCACAGTTATATTAATCTTTGAAAGGTTGTGGACCATACAGCTATAGCAGAAATTTCAGTCAGTTTTGTGCTAACTTCTGTTTCTAAGATAATACTGTTATATTCTCCAAACCTAATGATGTTTAAGGATCTTAATCTCTCTTTCCATTCAGTCCCTTATGATTCTGGTCATGTCCATCCACAGTTCATTTCAAGCACTGAATTCATATTTTTGTGGTTTTATTTGAAACTGGAGAAACTGGAACTTTTTTTTGTAACACTGAGGTTTGTGAAATCTATTTTTCAATTGGTTTACTCTTGTTTTACTTGGCTTATCGTACATGCTGAGCAAAGTGTGTTCTTGCTTAGCATGTTCTGTGACCTAAGAGCAACCCAATTTCAATCCTTTGAATCAGTTTTTACTTCCAGTCATGTACTCTGTGGTTCTCCAGCTGATGGTTGGGTCAGTTGTAGCCACTAACTGCAAGAAACCCCACCCCCTTGTTTTACAACAATGAGTCCGGTTCTGGAGCCTAATTGACAGGGCAGAAAATCATTCACTAAACGGCAGCAAATGCATGAAAAAATATTTTTGAAACTATCTCACTATATTAGAGAAGCATTCATTTTCAAATAAAAAGTAATCATACCACATCACTTCAATGTTATCTTTGTAAGTTTATCTTTCCTTCAGGCTACAACTCCTTCCTTGTTGCCTGCCTGAAGGAAAATAATCAGAATGACAAAGTTCAGAGGCCTTTCTGGGAATAATGTTGAGCACAGGCATCATTGCAAGCAATAAAAAAGGTCAAGATGGTGGCAGCCACAACCACATGATTGGAATCTTGTCTCTCTTTACATGTGTTATAAGAAAAGAACATTAAAAAGGGTCGGGACTTCAATTATGTAGTTTGGACTGCCAATATGCCTTTTTTTTTTAACCTCCTGCCCTGGAAACCTCTGAATTGAGCTCTGTGCCAGCTCCAAAATCCATGCTTTAAAGAATAGGGTTTTAAAGCAAATACATTAGGAACTATAATGAAACTAATTAGAAAAGGGTGGACATTTCTACCTTGGTAAAAGTCAAACAGTCTTTGTCTTGATCTTTGTCCTTTATTTCAAAGTCATAAAGTGCTTTGCCTTGTGGAGGAGCTGGTGGAAGAGGCTTGATACACTGGATGTAGCTTGCTGGGAAAAAGCCATGATTTCCATTCAGTTCCCCATGATACCAATTCTCATCTACTTTTCGGCGCAATATAATAAGGTCCCCTTTGTTAAATTTGAGGTCACCAGGTTCTTTCCCTTCGTAGGCATAAAGAGCTTTTCCATAGGGAAGCTGAGTGGGGTTCTGCAACAAAAAAAGGAAAAATACTATGTACTATTATGCAATTAATTATAATATACATTATTGTTACTGTTTGTTGCATGTTGCCGTTTTAAGTAAAGTTCAAAAGGCAGTTTCTAAAAATAATGTGTTTAAAAATGTTTATAACAAAATTAACAAAGGCTTTTGAAATAACTAGAGACAAAACAAGAATAAGTTTAAAGAAAATAGCATTTTTGCCTACCTAATATTAGGCAGCAGTGGTGCAAAATGTGATTCTTGGAAGACTATTTCAAACCCAGCCTTTATTTCCCCTCCCTCCTTCCCAAATTATTTTGTGGAAACCATTTCTCATCTTAGAATTCACTACAAAATAGTTTAGTATGAAGCAACTACAAATCAAACTCCTATTTCCTGCACTTGGGACAAAAAGAGCCTCACACTATTTGCTTATCAGGACACCTATGTAAGAATGTGCCCAACAGCTGTTTTACAAATTAGGACTGTTAATAAGGTAATTATCACTCTCTCTATCCACTATATTTTATTTTTCTCTTACTACAGAGTTTTCAAATCTTCTTCTCTTTCAGTGAGTGAATTTATACTCCTGTTTGAAGAATATCAATTGGAATGTATTTATATTTATCTATAAAATGCATGTACCTTTGTATTTACAGGGATCCACACAATGATATACAAAAAGGTTCATTTATTTAAAATTTTGAATAGAACAATGAATAGAAAACAACTTTCGTACTGCATACAAATTCAATTCTATTTTTATGAAGTACCGTATCAATCATGATTGAATATCTTTAAGTATCTATATTTCAGCATCGGAATACACAAAATGAGTACTATTTATTGCACAATCAAGTACCATTTTCTTTGGATACAGAAATTCTCCCTCTTTTTCAAGCTAGTCCCTGCTAGTTTTCTTCTCTTCCATTGCAAATTAATTGGCCAATGAATCTCTAAATTAGACAGAATTCCTCTCCACTTTTCCTCTAGTTACTCTAATTAAAGAGACTCTTAGAGAATGTGGCTTCACATTAAAGCAATTTCTCTACAGCCCCCCCAAGTAATTGATTAGTCTTACTGATTTCCTCTCAGCTTTCTCCTATCAAAAAATGAAAGGAAAAATGTTCATCTATTATGAAAATAGGTTTGTAATATAAATGAAGAAGCCATGGAAGTCTCAGCATTTCTTGTATGTCCACATTGCAGAATATGTCTTTATTTGAATCAATCAATTCTGATAAGACAAAGTGGACGATTACATGTACTTGGGGAAAAGTGAAATCCTAATGATATGCTAGGGATTCAATCATTGAGCATTTACATTTCAGACAAATCAAATGGCAGCACTTAAGAAACTACAAGCAAACAAAAACAATCACAAGGCAATTAAATGGTAACTAGGATTTTTGAAACCGATGAATTGATTGCTTAGTAGAAATCATTGTATGACATTCAGTGCATCACTATCTTCTTTCTCTGTTCAAAAGCTTTCAGCCACCAAAGAGCTCTCAGTTGTCTACTCTCTATTATGCACTGTTCCTCTTATCGTCTGGTTCAGTGTGAAGGCTTCCCTCAGCATTATTCTATTTTCTCAAAGATTTCTTTTTAAATCATACCTCATGTTTCTGTTTCAACCTATCTTAAGCCTTGTTGGCTCAACTTTTTCTCTTCCCAGCTTAGCATGTTACCATTTCTCTTTTTAACATGCTGTGATACTTCCCATTAACCTCCTCCTGTCTCAGTTCCTGATCTCCTTTGAGCTTTTCTTCCTTCTCTTTTACCTACCCTTCCTGTTTTTTCAGTCTATGGCTTTTTCACACTTCATTTGTGAACATCATGCCCATTAGCTTCTTCTGCATCTTGGAACCTTTTTGTTCAGATTTTCACCCTACTCCACAGATGAGCAACAAGCTGAAGCTTAACCCAGGCAGGTAGAAATCCTGTGATTGAGAAATGTGCTAAACTGGAGATTTAAGCATTATCTGGAAGGACCAAATATTGCAATATCTTTGAAGCCATCATCTACTACAGCAGTAGACCGAGGTACCTTTTTCAGCATTGCTGCAGCCGTAGCAATTTTTATTTATTTGTTCTAAGGAATGTAATATAATGCAAACAATTTAATTCTGGGCAGCTTACAACAGAAAACAAAGCAACAATAACCAATAATAGTCAGGAACAGGCAAACTGTTTACTCATTTTAACCCCAATGCTCAGGGGAATAGTTAAGTTTTAAATTCTATTTAAAAGTCAGCAGTGTTGGAAACAACTGAACATTGGAATTATTTCAAAGGGCAGGTGTCCCTACAGAAATGGGATGGCTTCTGGGTTTTGTCAGATGATACTGCCTCAAGGCATGAATGCCCATACTATTAACATAGGTAGGTTCAGCAGATATCGTACAATAACTTAGTCCTATGCCATGATTTAACCTAGTGATTCTTAGCAGCCTTTCCCTTCGGGCAGGTCTTCCTGCTGCTGTGGGTAATTACCCTAGGGCAGGGGTAGGCAACCTTGGCTCTTTTATGACCCGTGGACTTCAACTCCCAGAATTCCTGAGCCAGCATGGCTGGCTGAGGAATTCTGGGAGTTGAAGTCCACGAGTTGCTGCCAAGTTGAAGTCCACGAGTTGCTGCCAAGTGGGCTAATTTTGATCATCTGACCATGAAGGAACTGCATTGGCTGTAACTTTGGGCATGGGTGGTAAATCCTTTCCTTCACTGCTGTTGGAATGGTCACTTAGGGCTACCTGTATTCAATATTCTTATTGAACTGTTGTCATTATAAACAAAATTGACAAACTGCAGTTAAAAACAGCTAAAAATACATTAAATATATAATTAGCCCATTTCTCAAATTTATTTCTGTCAGGCCTAGTCCTGCTTCAGGTTAGCTTCTGAAATCATTAATAGCCAAGACAATCAGGCAAAATGTACAAGGGGATGAAAGAATAAGTTATCCACAGTTTGCCCACTCAGCAATGAAATAATAAATGTCAGTACAAGGCATTAATAATAATTAAAACTGGTAATGCTTATTTTGTAGCTCATTACTTGAAGCACACTGGAGCCATTTCTCATTTTGTGAAGGAACTCAAAGGAGCACCCCCACATTCTTATAGATCCTTCACACAAGCACTCTGGACAAGGCATATGGCTTCTGTCATGCATTAAAGCTTCTTGGAAAACTTATCAGTTGTATCCAGAAGAGAGAGGGGGTTTCTTATTTATATATATATATATATATGTATATATTGAAATAATTTAAATCAGCAGAAACTGAAGGGGAGAATCACAGTATAGAAACTGGTTGAATTGGACCATTTACAAACTGATATGTAGTACAGATAGACCTTGACTTACAACAGTTTGTTTAGTGACTGTTCAAAGTTACAACGGGATTGAAAAAAGTGACTTATTACCATTATTTCACACTTATGACCGGTGTAGCATCCCCATGGTCATGTGAATCAAAATTCAGATGCTTGGGAACCGATTCATATTTATGATGGTGGCAGTGTCCTGACACATGATCACCTTCTGTGACCAAAAGTCATTTAAATGTTTCACGTAACAACAAAAATGTTGGGCTCAATTGTGTTCGTAAGTACTTCACTTTTGTTTAGCTATAGATAAAAGGTACAATTGTGCCAATTGTTGCATTACCATTATGAAAAGCTGGAAGAACTCTGAGTGATTCAAAAGATTTCTCATTTGCATGTTAATAAGAATCAGAAAAATAAATTGCATCACCTTATTAATTAGATATGTTCAGTAATTTTGCAGTTATTAGGATGGAAAGGGCACTAATTTCCTACTATTTCTCGTCTTCTCATATAAACTTCTCAGAATTATTGATGTGCATCAGCAATTTTTCAATATTCTTCCTTCAATAAAAGAAATAGTCTATTTCCATTTGTCTACAGTCGGGGTCCCCAACCCTGGGGTGGTGGCTCAGTACTGAGCCACGGCCCATTCGGAAGCAGGTCATATAAGTAACAGGTGAGCACGTGCGCAGCTCCATTTGTGGGGATGGCAGGCATGCCTGCCGCTTGCACAAATGGAACTTCATGTGCGCACACCAATGCTTGCCACTCGTACAAATGGAGCTGTGCGAGTGCTCGTGCATGCCGCCCATATGGAGCCATTTTCTCTCCCCCCCCCCTCTCGTCCGCAAAGCTGGAAAGGTTGGGGACCTCTGGTCTAGAGAGGAAATCCAAGGATGCTTTGCAGGAAAAAAAAAATCCTTAAAGGATTTCTAACTTTGCACTGTTTGAAGGAGCTTTCCACTTGCTTATCCCAAGTAAGCTTCAAGAATGCCAATAAGGAAAGATTTGCACATATGTGCCTAAGAATTTATGCCACTCTATCAGGCTCCAGAAAGAATTGGCAAAGGCACCCACCTAAATAAAAGGCATATTTTATTTTGCATGCCCATATTTTGAGAAACGTTTCTGTCAGACATGGGCATTTCAATTTCACTGCAAAAGCAAACATTTAAAAAAATTACAACCATGTGAGTGCAGACAATAGTGTTTTGCCCAAGGGATGTATTGTTATAAAATTTTAAGTTCATTTTATAGGTAAATAATTGTTTAATTAAAAAACTTGTGAGCTAAAGAAAGATGAATTTGCTAAGTTTTTAACTGAGGATTCAGCTGGCATATTCAACTCTTGTAGTAGTTGTCTACTGTTTAAATCTTCTGTAAATGGAAATCAGAAATAAAGGCACATGGCCTGCTGAATTCCTTCTTGTTTCAAAGATTTAGAGAAGGAGAAGTGGGACTAATTGAGTCTGTCAATGAAGTAAACACAATGAAATTGCTGCAATGGTTGACATCTGAAACATTCCATGCATGCATAGATAAATAGATAGATAGATATTAGATATAGATAAGATGACTGACTTCCATTTTTTCATAGCTTCTCAAATCCTCCTCCAAGACTTTAATTTAAAGAATTGCTTATATATTTAATTTCCTTGGACATTTGTGAAGAGAAAGTTCCAATTTAAATGCCTTCCCCATTAAAAGTTTCTTACCAAATGTTCCAAATCATTTATTTGATGTATAAAGAAGCAGTCCAAGTTGCTTGTCAATGGTGTGCTAACACTAAACATAAACAATCTCTTAAATAGAAGAGCTGTGGCACCAAGGGCTCAGTTTTCCTGTGCAATCTTGTCATAATTAAATTGGACCTTAAAAGTCCCACTTCTCAAGGCAAACTTACAACTATTTAATGAGAGGAAATTGAAAAATTGTCATAACTTACACTGGAATAGCTCCACTAAATATAATGTGGGAAGCCAAAGTGATGAGTAGGAGTCTTCTCAAGGGCTATCAGATCACTTTGGTCCTGCAGTACTTAGAATATAAAATATCAATTATGGATAATTATTAGAATGTGTAATAACTGTATATAATTTTTGGGTTCTTTCCACTGTATAAAATCTCCTTTCTAAACCTTCCATGTACAGTGATCATTTCATACATATGACAATCTTCTCTAACTCAAATCTTACTGAGTAATCAATATCCTAGTTCTTAAAGTGCTTCAGGATCCTTTGTTGCTTATTTACCATAATTTATGTTATTTCATTGATTTTAGCATTTACTTTATTCAGACATATGAAAGTATCTTAAAACTTGGTACAATTCAATTTTCTAATATACTGTATCTACTAAGCTAAACAAAACTTTCAGAGTAAAATAATGCAAATTTCAAGTCCAAGTGTCTTAAATTATATGTATGTAATTTAACCACACAAATTCTCTTCTTTAATT